CCCCCCCCCCGAGTCAGCTTTCCAATTAAAAACAGAAATTACACTTTCTGTAACTGCTATACTTATGTCTGGAGCATTCATTAAAACAAACTTTCTCTGTACATAGTACAATCATGGAGAAAAAGCAAAACATTTCTAACAAATTTAGGAATATACAAAATTACGGTAAATGAAGGCCAAAAATAACAAAAATGTCAGCTACTAAATTTGGTCAACAAATCATCTGTCCTGCCACCGAGTGCCATTCAGCTTCGAGCATGAAACATTTGGCCAGCAGGAAAATGAATCAAATATTTGAAAACAAACCGTGACCAACATTTTCAGGGAAGAAAAAAAAACAAAACAGGATTTCTAGAATATGCTGGGAAAATGTCATTTTTAAATGATCTGATTGCAACTTTCTCTCATCATTGCATAACTAATAACAGCTTTTAGGATTGTATTTTGTTTGAAATATACTTACAAATGATATACAGGCAGCAAGTAGCAATATTCTAACTAATAAGTCTTCAAACTGTTCAATCACCAACTCCCATAATGTTTTCCCTAGGGAGAAAGACAAAACACTTGTCACCATGACTTAGATGCAACACAGAAGCACAAATAAAACATAGCTAAACTGCATGAAACCCATACCTTCCTCTGCAGGTAGTTCTGTTCCACAAATGGTTCCAGGAGCACAGCATAGAAAAAAAAGGGAAAAAAAACAAACAATATTCAAATTAAAATTAAATCAGTTATGTAAATAAGCAAAATCCCAACTGGTCCACGATAGGCATGTCTACTTGCCTGCGCTTCTCCAGGCACCAACTATATGGCCTCAGACAGTAATATAACACATTAACATAGTAGGTTTCTAATTAGGGCGGCAGCTAATTATAATCGGGCAACTAATCGATTATTTTCATAATCGATTAGCTGCCCGATTATTTTTTTCAACTAATCGATTGGTTCCATTAAAAAAAAAAAAAAAAAAATCTCTTAAGGTGCCCATACACCGTACGAATATCGGATGATTTTCGTATACGATCAAGTCTTCGTCCGATATTCATAAGGTTGACGGGCGGTGTACAACTGCAAATACTGTGCAATCGATCGACTTGACTAACCAGCAGGTTAGAAAACTTCGGTCGATCGTCTGATTTTTGCAAGGTTGGTGTTTTGGCGTTTCCTTACGTCAAAATTCGTACAATTTACACTGCACATGAGCAGACGAGAATACGTGCGGTTGATTACCGCAATTAGTCCAGGTGCTTTCTTCTAATTACCGCTGATCCAACCTTCCGATAACCGGGGCAGAATGGGGCCGCTGTACGAAAACCGTACGATGGATCGATCGGACGAAAAGTGTCGTTCGATGATCGCAAGGTGAATGGACAGCCTAACCCCTAATGAGAATAGTTGCTAACTATTCGCAATCGATTATTACCAATTTAATTGATTCATTGTTGCAGCCATATTGCTAATCCCACCGTGTTATGTAGTTTTTGAAGATTTTCTGTTAATTTTAGGTACTTGCAGCAGCTTTATTTAAAAACCACCAATGTGTGTACTTGCAGCATTTACACAACAATGAATGACAATCTCAGTACAATCTGAAAGGAGAACTTGGGAAAGTGGAATTACCCCCTCCAATCTGGTCTGCTCTCCTTACCTTTGTCCGTAAACTCCTTCCACCCCCTCCAGTGCACTACCTGTATACAGCAGCTCGTCCTGAGCTCTCTATTTTAAATTCCTTTCTTAGCAAGAAGCGCTTCTCATTGGACACTGACCAATGAGAGCTCACCATTTGCAAGCAAAATGTACAATACAGAGCACAGGGTACGTTGCACTGTACGGAGTATGGGAATTACACTGGCGGAGGGGGGGAAGGAGCATTTGGTCAATGGTAAAAATCAGGGGAAGAGAGGGGAGCAGATTTGAGGGGGTAATTCCATTTTCCAAAACCCACCTGGGAACGTGGAATTTGACCAGTAGAATTTCATTTAAAAAAAAAAATAAAATAATTTGTAATGCTTGATTTTCTAGTTAATAGGGTCAAATCAACTATACATTTTGACAACAGTAATGGGAATAAAAAATTTTGTTTTAAAAAGGAGCAGAACGTAAAAAAAATTTTCTTGAACAAAATAAATTCTAACAGTGAATGTGGTTTTCATTCAAGAAACTTCATTCATTCCAAAATCGAACGCTAAAAGAAATCGACATGGCATTTTCGAATGTTCCGACGAGACTTTTAGTAGGAACGTTTGTTCAAAAATCCACCGGTGTATGGCCAGCTTAAATCTCAAACAATGCCATGAAAACAGTCTTATCACACAGACCCAACCGGTCAGGAGGTTTATCACAATAACGACAGTTAGCATAAAGCTGGCCATACATTATGCAAATTTTGGCCGGTTCTTGCAGAACCGGCCAAAATTCATGCAGTGGGTACCGCTGTCGGCACCATTTTGCCTGACATCCCTCTATCAGCTGTTTGAAGGAGCCGGTCAGAAAATCTTTCAATGAACAGAACCAATGAGCTGCCGGCTCCGTTTGGGTATTCTTGATCAATGCGCTTGTAGCATTGATGGAGGAATCTGTTCTATTTTTGCCCGTTCAGCTGTGTATGGCCAGCTTAAGACTGAGGTGCCTTTCATCAGCCCTGCAACTACATGTCCATGCATTCACATATACCCCAAATAGATCAAGCAGACATCACTTTCAATAATACAAAAAAAAAAAAAAAAGCCCATAAATTTACAACATACACACTAATGAATCTGTTTTTTAACAAAAAACACATCACAGTACACCTGCAGGCATACAAACAGCTTTTGGCTACAGCAGATAGTATACCAAATACACTATAAAATATGGTAATCCCTAAACCATTACGCAAACAAGAGCTCTAGTCTGTAATAACTAAAAAAAAACTATTTGTTGTGCTGGTGTAAAAGCACCTACACTTGATGATCCAGTGCTCTTTTCCCAGCCGATTCTACATTTACCTCCTACATAATGAGGAGGCAGGATGTTGTGCAACTATTGAGAAAGGCATAAGGACTAAAGCCAAGATCAGCAATCGGCAGATGTCAGGGAAGTGGTGAAACCAGTTCTGGTACTTGATCTCACACACACACGAGGTTGCATCCAGGCAGCCATCTTCTGTTAATGTTATACCAGACTCCCATTGAGATGCCGGGATAGGCCCGTACAGGAAGTGCTCCCACCCTTCTCTGGAAGGATTCAAAGACAAACGCCACATCGGATCACTCATTCACAAATGAAGATGTGGGCTCTTTTAATGGGTCACCTGGCTACGCCACAAACAGCTGCTAATTGTACACGCCAGGGGTGCTGGCCCTTGGGCAGCAAGGAGCTCATAGAGATGTCCTCTCTATCTGGTGTATGGACTACCTGCAATCCAGAACTGCCTACTCAAACACTGACCTTACACAGGACAATCTTCTATAGATTTACCAATACTATAATATGTGACCCGACCTAAACTAGCCGATCTATAACTAATCAGATAGGCCCTTGCACTACATAGCTGCTTGTTTAAGGGTTGCCATATTTGTTACAATCTCACCATACAATCTCCTTTAGATTTACCAAAACTATAATAATATCTGTCCCTACCTATACTAGCCGATCAATCTGTGACTGAGCAGACAGGCCCTTACACTATATAGTTGCTGGTAGATTTAAGGGTCACCATAGACCTTATAACCTGATTATACAATCTCCTTTAGATTTAGCAACGTTATAGTGTGCCCCTACCTTACCTAGCCGATCGATCTGTGACTAATCAGACAGGCCCTTACACTATATAGTTGCTGGTAGATTTCAGGGCCACCGCAGACGTTACAATCTGAATATACAATCTCCTTTAGATTTAGCAACGTTATAGTGTATCCCTAGCTTACCTAGCCGATCAATCTGTGACTGATCAGACAGGCCCTTACACTACAGGTGGGTCACCATATAGGTTACAAGCTGACCATACAATCTTTAGACTTACAAAGACTATGTAATATGCAGATCTACCCAACCTATCCAATCAATCTGTATTCAGCCAAGCAGACCATTGTAATACATGGATGCAAAGAAGATTGCACAATCATATTGTAACCCGTGTAGAAAGATTTTAGCCAATAACAGGAGGACAATGGCCAATCTGCGCCCCTGCAGGTAGCCCATCACCCCTGCACCTGATCCTCTCCCCTTCATTGGTACCCCTCCAATGTACAGCCAAGTGATGGAGAGGGCCCAGGTGGCCGGGGCTCACGTACCGTTAGGGCCCCATCTTTCCTTCAGCTTCTTGACCTGCTCCAGGCCCAGCCCCGTGCTCTCATTGACGTTGAAATGCACCAGCACCTCCTCCACCGTCTTGGTGTGTGCGTTCTCCATTGCCGGATCTGCGCCCCCCTCTCCTCTCCGTGCTGCTGCTGTGTCCGGCTAGTGATCGCTCCACACACACAATAGGCCTGTGTCCTCACAGCCCTCTGCCCATACGAGCCCCCCCACCCCGGGCACTGCTGTATCTGGGATGACACAGACGTGGAGCCTCCGCTTCTTCTTCTACAGATGCCGCCCGGGATTCATGCACAGCTGGCGAGGATGGAACCGTTTTCCGCCAATGGGCTGGCTGCGGCGTTCCAGAGGGTTCTACGCTGCCCGGACCGTATGCACCTCAGCGCCCAGGAGTGACTGCGGCTCCCACACAACACATACACCCGTGCACGTCGGCCGGTCGGTGTGTTGCTTCCTCTATGAGTCGCGGCCTCCCTTTGGTTCCTTAAAAGCCGTCGCACCGGGCCGTCTCCTCCCGCGCAGCTCCTGATTCTAGTGTGGCAGTGGGACACAGCCGCTATAGCATTTTATTCCGAGGCTGCCCCAGACTCACGGTCGCTGCATGTGGACGACTCTGATTGGTGGGAATTCGCGTCACCAGGCCACGCCCCTTCTCCCCGGCAGGATCCAGGATCACGGTGACGTAGCGCGAAATGTCCCAGTGGGGGAGCTAGGCCTACGCTCAGCTGAGGTGGGAGGGGCGTGGCTTAGGGTCTATGTGTGAGAGCGTCTTATGGCACAGGTCTGCAGCCTGGCTGCTATCACCCGGCTCGAACTGCAGTGCAATTATAGCAGAGTGCCTCAGTGTTACACTACACTGGAACAATGTCCTCCCACTCCACTAACGTGTATCTAACCCACAAACTTTTTTTTTTGTGGCGAGGGTTTACATTTCTTGTCAGTTTTTTTATTTTGTATTCATTTTTCAATCATAGGACAGCATGAACAACAAAAGCAAAAACTGAGTTGTACGATAACATGACCAGTATTCAATTAGGTACATACCAGATTTGTGTCACTTATGTACAAAGTAACGGTAGACCTGTGCACTCCAGCTGTTGTGGAACTACAGATCCCATAAGCAGGGGTGGGCAAGCTGGCCCTCCAGCTGTTGTGGAACTACAAATCCCATGAGGCATTGAAAGATTCTCACACCTACAGACATGACTCCTCAAACAGATGCATCATGGGATTTGTAGTCTCACCACAGCTGGAGGGCCACGCCTGCTATAGGGCATTGCAAGCCTCTGACATCCACTGGCATGACTTGCAGTGGCAGGATGGAATTTGTATCAAAGTTGCCTTTGCCTGGTAAAGGTTATTGTGGTGCAGAGTTTAACGAGTCTATGTTATGTTTTAATGGAATGTGGCCTGCAAGGGCTGACTCTATTTTTGGTCAGGGGAAGAAGAGGGAGGAAGAATGTGGGGTCTCCGCCCCAACCTCATCTTAAAATTTCACATTAACCGTCCTCTCCGCTCTTCCCAAGACTAATCAGACAGGCCCTTTTTTGCTTACTCATCAACTCCTCCAATGATCACATCCAGGACTTCTCTAGAGTCTCTCCCATCCTCTGGAACTCTACCCCAATGCCAGTTATTTCCTACTTTGTTTGCCTTTAGGCGATTTCTGAAAACTCATTTCTTCAGGGAAGCCTATCCCTCCTCAAACTACCCACTGAACTATCACTTTCTAAAACAACTCATTCCCACACAGCTACCACCTCTTGTATCACTTGCCCTTCTGTTAGATTGTAAATTCTCACTGACAGGGTCCTCCTTACCATCTTGTCTTGATTTGTATTGTAACTTCAATGTCTTCTGTATATTGTAAAGCGCTGCGCAAACTGTTGGTGCTATCAATCCTGTATAATAATACATATGGGGTGAATGCCGACTTGGGGGGGGAGACAAGACAACCACTTCAAGGGTTAAGATTTGGTTTGCCCAAAGTTTTGCTTTAAGGCTGGTGACCTGTTTGTAGATGCTAAAGGCCTGTGACCGTAAAGGCAGGTATCATAGGGCATGTTCACCAAATGGACAGCATAGTCCTTTGTTCTACTTCGCATTGCCAGCAGTGCTCCAAGTCACCAGGAATATTTCATGTAGGGTTGTGAGAATTCTATAGTTTTTCTCTTAAACCACTGTAGCGACATTGCTCTGTCAGGTTTTTATCATTGTCTGGGAGATTCACTCTCTCTGTCTTGGTGAAATTCACCATTTCTGAACAGTTAAAAAATCTAAAATCTTCCGATGGGGACACTTGTTCTAAAAATACAGTGTGGCAAATAATGATTTGATCCCCTGCTGATTTTGTAGGTTTGCCCACTTACAAAGAAATGAAAGGTCTATAATTTTTATCATAGGTGTATTTGAAATGATACCGACTTATTTTAAATGATACCGAGAATATCAACCAAACATCCAGAAAGAACACATGATACAAATGTTAGAAATTGAGTTGCAGTTCAGTGAGTAAAATAAGTATTTGATCTCCAAACAAAACATGACTTAGTACTTGGTGGAGAAACCTTTGTTGGCAAGCACAGAGGTAAGACGTTTCTTGTAGTTGGTTTCCAGGTTTGCACACATCTCAGGAGGGATTTTGGTCCACTCTTCTTTACAGATCTTCTCTAAATCCTTAAGGTTTCTTGGCTGTCGCTTGGCAGCTCGAAGTTTCAGCTCCCTCCACAAATTTAAGGTCTGGAGACTGGCTAGGTCACTCCATGACCTTAATGTGCTTCTTCTTGAAGCCACTGCTTTGTTGCCTTGGCGGTATGTTTTGGGTCATTGTCATGCTGAAAGAACCATCCATGACCCATCTGGCTGAGGGAAGGAGGTTTTCATCCAAGATTTTACAATGCATGGCCCTGCCATTGGCCCCTCAATGCGGCAATTAAGTCGGCCTGTACCTTTAGCAGAGAAACAGCCCCAAAGCATAATGTTTCCACCTCCGTGCTTGACTGTAGGAATGGTGTTCTTGGGGTCATAGTCAGCATTTTTCTTCCTCCAAACACAGCGAGTGGAGTTCATGCCAAAGAGCTAAATTTTGGTCTCATCTGACCGCAGCACTTTCTCCCGATACTTCTCTGAATCATTTAGAATTTTAGATGTTCATTGGAAATCTTCAGACGTCCCTGTACATGTGCCTTCTTAAGGATCTCAATCCATGGCGGTGTATTGTGTTACCAATAGTTTGTTTGGTGACTGTGGTCCCAACTACCTTGAGAGCATTCCTAAGCTCCTCCCGTGTAGTTCTGGGCTGATCCCTCACTTTTCTCATGATCATCCTTACTCCATGAGGCGAAATCTTGTATGGAGCTCCAGACCGAGGGCGATTGATGCTTATTTTGTATTATTTCCATCTGTGAATAAATAATACGTTTTGTAGCCCATTCCAGCCTTGTACAAGTCTACAATCTTGTCCCTAACGTCCTTTGACAGCTCTTTGGTCTTGCCCATGGTGGTGAGGTTTGAATGGAAGAAAGAGATCCGGTGGACAGGTGTCTTTTATATACGTAACGAGTTGCTGTTAGGAGCACCTTCTTAAAGTGACAGGACCAATCTGTGTACCACATAGCCAGTCTGTGGGAGGAACAGGAATTATTGTTGGTTGGTAGGGGATCAAATACTTATTTTACTCACTGAACTGCAACTCAATTTATAACATTTGTATCATGTGTTTTTTCTGGATTTGTGGTTTCTATTCTGTCTCTATCATTTAAAATACATCTATGATAAAAAATTATAGACCTTTCATTTCTTTGTAAGTGGGCAAACCTACAAAATCTGCAGGGGATCAAATCATTATTTTCCATACTGTAAGTAAGTGGGGATTTTACATTACATTTTACAGTACAGTACATTGAGCTGCTTTTATCTGTATAGACAAACACAGGTTCAACGCAAGGGTACATGGAAAAAAACTGTCCTGCATGTGCCACATTCACACCATAATGCTGCATTGCGTAAATTGCAGGATACCAGCATTTTTATACATGGCAGCACACAGCACCGCAACACACTGTGGGTTGAATGGAGTGTCATGCTGTGACATTTCAATAAAGGCAAAAAAGAAAATAATAATAATAAATGTAAATTAAAGAAAAAAGTAAACTGTGCAATGCTTTAAAGTTTAAACAATGCATCTCACTGCCCCTACATAATGCACGCTAGAGCACACGTGTCATTGTATTTAGAGTTACGTGAGCTAGCCCTCATCATTGTGTGTGCAAAACAGGATGTAAATGGAGATCTCACAAATGGGACACATGACAAAAAAAGAATATATGACGGGCTCTTTAAAGCAGAACTCCAGGCAAAAAAGTTCTTAACCCTTGCAGTGGGGCTACCCCTGCACTGCAAGGGTTAAGTGCTCGTTTCTGTCTAGGTGTTATACTCACCCGAAGCTTGGAGCTGGCTGGCTGCTACTCCGGTCCCTGAAGCCTGTTTCCTCCTCCGCTGCAGTGATGATATGTTCCTCAGCATCCTCACATCCTATATGTGTATAGAACGTGGTGACTCAAGGATCTGCTGCAGCAGAGGGGAAGACAGGCTCCAGGGACCAGTCTTACAACAAGCCGGCTCCGAGGATCGATTGAGTATAATTTTTTTTTTAGCACCTAGACAAAAAAGAAACACTTAACCCTTGCAGTGCGGGGGTAGCCCCACTGCAAGGGTTAAGAACATTTTTGCCCAGAGTTCTGCTTTAAATTTTCTCTACTTCATCTATCTAAAGAAAATGGTTTGTCTTTTGATATACTTTAAAGTAGGTGCCATATATATACTGTATATATAAGACAGTGTATTCCAAATGACCCCTGGCATTGGTACTATTATTGCCAGTACTGTGCCTGGCACATATGCAATTATCAGCTTTACCTTTTAGGCTGATGTTACACTTGCAATCCTGTCACTTTGCCAGCGGCACGATTGCGGAAACAGCTGCAAATATATTTACCTGTTTCCACAAGTCATCCCATTTCTTGCTGGATGACCTTATGAGTAAGCATCATTACTGTGAAACGCGTTAATGCTTTCTTGTGGATGTTATGTTGACTGTGCCTTCCATTTGGTTAATACAAGTGTGATTAAACAACAAGCACCATAAACCCATTTTCTCTTCTTTTTATGTATTTCAGGTGGCATGACTAGGCAGCCTGGGAACCGTGGGTTGCCTCTGCAATAGCTGATCTCCCCGATGGCAGTAAAATTTAAACTGATTAACCTAGCGTGTTGCCTACTTGCTGACAGAAACGCCGCAGAATGTCACTTGCATGTGAGAGAGTGACGTCTTGCTCATCCAGCCAGTGTCCATGCGACATGTGAAAACAGGTGAGTGTTTCCCTGCCCAGCCCTTTAATACATAGTGATCTATCACTGGCTCATAGGATCACAAGTCTGACATGGACCTTACTTATGTGTGAAAGATCTATGTTATTGATTAACTAGAAATATATACTTCCTGGTTGTTGTGCTGATGAAACAGCTTCGTAACTTTATAAGTCACTAACCCAAAATGAGTATGCAGATTAGGTGTTCTGACCCCGATTTTTCCGATCTGCATTCTTGTATGTCTCAAAGTATTGAGGCCAGAGACAGC